GGAAAACTTAGATAAACTGAGTAAATAAATTTTAAATTTTGTATATATACGAAAAAGTCCCCTAAATTTTTGTAAAATTGAAAAGGTATGACAACGCATAAAGAAAATTGTCAATTTGTTGGCCTTACATTAGGTTCGGCAATAGAAGCCCAAAATGTTTGGCGTCAAATAACCATATCCCACAACATACAATTTTGTAACCCCCTCAAAGACCAATATAATAGTTATTCCTCCCCACCTCTCTCTCCCGTATCTTTCACTTTCTCAACACCTTCCAATATTGACATTGACCTTAGTCGGATTGTATTGATGCTTCCAACAACAAACTTCGAATTTTTTTTTTTGGTCAACCAAAGGAACTTATATTATAAATTACGTAATATTACAGGGAGAAATGTCCCCCGTTGGCATTGAGTTACAAAAAGTGTGATGAGTACTGTAGCCCATTGGTACTGTATTACAAAAAGATCCATGGTTAATATTACAATCATTTGCCAGCATATCTAAACAAAAAGAGGTTGGCTCCAGTTGTGCTGGTATAGCTGATCTACGCAAGTGTGGCGTTCCCGGTTGATCTGCTAGCAAATCTTATAAAACCAAAGGTGGCGGCTACCATATGATAGTAGTTGGAGAACCATTATCCGTAGTTGCTCCATGTTTTGTCAGTTTATCTGCTACCGATTTTGCTCATTGTATGTGTGTATCACTCGAGACCTAACCAATTTGGATTACAGATACTCGCATTCATATAGTATTGATGAGTATTGCAGACTGGGAGATTGAAGTAGAGAAATTACCCCATTTGAGTCAACATTGACTTCCAATGGTTTTAGTTGGTGACGTAAGGCAAATTATAATCCTTCAAGGAGTGCATTGAGTTCCATATATGTATGGTTCCCCGTTTTTCTCTCACCTATATACCCTAGTATCCAGTGACCTATTGAGTCTCTGAATACTCCGCCAAGACCATTTTTTGATTGGATGATTTTACATGCTCCATTAGTATTTAGCTTAAAATATCCCGGATTTGGAGGGTACCATTTGACGTAATTTTGGGTGGGCTAGGTGGTGCAAGTATTGATGTTTGCAATTAGATATTAGATGAATATGAAGTTGTCGTCACTGCTAAGTCAACCTTAAAACCCACTGTCTTTATCCCGTATGGAAATTTTGGAGACCTATCCTCGAAGTATATCAGCTTCCAACTTTTCTGGATGAGTTGACAATTTAAATGGTGTTATACACCATAGATGTATCTCTAGCATGTATATATGTGTATCCATAAAATTTGTTGTATATACATTATATACAGTTTAGTCTTTGATATACATGACGATATAGAGATCAATTATTCATTTAAGCTCATCATATACATGGTGTTATATGTGCGATGATACAAGATTTAAATATTAGTTCTACAGTTAAATTCATAATATACATGGAGTTATATATATCAGTTATACAATTAAGTTCATGATATCTAGTTAAGTTCATGATATACATGAAGTTATACATGTTAGGATCAAAATTATCAGGCGCCATGCGGAAGCTAGTAAAGCAAATCTTGAACGACGATAAATCAGACAATAAAAGAGAAATATATCAAAAGAGACACAAACATTTAACGTGGTTCGGTCAATTAACCTACGTCCATATACTGAGATGAGCAATCCATTATATAAAAGATAATACAAAATATCGAGAGGACAACCTCATAAAGAGGCATACACAAGTGGCAGACTAACATTTGTCTCGAAATTCTCCTCCTAAACAAGACTCTCAAACCACATATGGCTACATTGTGGATGCTGCTAAATGAGAAGGAAGGATCCTCAATTTATAGAAGTACAAAATATTTTCCTCCAAAAAAAGGAGTAGCCAAATATGGAAGAATTATATTTTTCTTTTGATAAAAGAAAAAATTAATTATGGTAAACATGTTGTCTTTTCCTTCAAGAAATAGGAAAATCAAATATGGTAAGAAAATAAGGACAAACACCTAACAATTCTCCTTTTTGGCCTGAATTTTCTGACAAAATAAACTTGATCCACCTTCTTCAAATAACCTTCAATAGGTCGTATCTCCAAATCTCCACTACAAAGTTCGCCTCAACTTGCGTAGTACTCCGGTCAAATTTCTCAAACAAAAGTTATGATTATCATCAAATAGGTTGCGGTAAGAACTAAACCCACCTAGATGAACTTGTCTTGAACCTCACTCTAGTACCACTTGTTAGGATAAAAATAATCAGGTTTCATGCAGAAGCTAGTAAAGCAAAACTTGAACGACGATAAATCAGACAACAAAAGAGAAATATACCAAAAGAGACACAAGCATTTAGCGTGGTTCAGTAAATTGGCCTACGTCCAAAGGCGGAGATAAGCAATCCATTATATAAAAGAGAATACAAAATATCGAGAGAACAACCTCACAAAGAGGCAAACATAAGTGGTAGGCTAACACTTGCCCCGAAATTCTCCCCCTAAACAAGACTATCAAACCCCATATGGCTACATTGTGGATGCTACTAAATGGGAAGGAAGGATCCTTAATTTATAGAAGTACAACACTTTTTCCTCCAAGAAAAAAGACTAGCCAAATATTGAAGAATTATATTTTGCTTTTGGTAAAAGGAAAAATTAATTATGGTAAACATGTTGTTATTTTCTTCAAGAGATATGAAAATCAAATATGGTAAGAAATCAGGACAAACCTTTACAATATATATCTGTTATATGCAAGGGATACAAGTGAATTTATGATATACATGCCAATTTCTTCTTCCCATATTTCTTTCTCATCTTCTACATAGTTAGAAAAAGTCTTTGTAAACTAAAAGAAAATAGGCCTAATATAGAGTACTAGCCAAAAAGAAAAAGATGAAGTTGAAACCTAACATATTATTTATGCGAAATACATAAGTCGCCCTTTTAAGTTGTCCTCAACGATCAAATAAACACCTCAACTAAGCCCTTTTTCATTTTGATACTTCAAGTGGTTATTAAGTAGATCAAGTAAACACTCGATCCAGTTAGCTCACCTCGCGTGTAATACACTTTCGGTGACGCACATTGTCTACCCATCCCAAATAGTAATAAATGGTAATCGTATGTGTAATTCTGAATATACCCTTAATGAAGTCTCTAATTTAAGCCCAATACCCAAACCCTAATTTTTACTTCATCATTTTTGCTAGTCGCACCTTTCCCTCCTCCATTGTTGGTGACCTTTTCTTTTAATTGGAAAAAAATTGTGAGCTTTAGCTTATTAGGCAAAAAAACTCGTTCCAAAACAAGAGCATAATTCATCAGGTCCATCATTCTCTTTAGAAATATTTGATTTTTTCTTCGGCTAGTAACTCAAAGAACTTATGGCCAGCTTCCTTCAAATCCTCAAGAACTTCAGTTTTTTTTTTCTTTCAATTTGGAAGAAATCCACTAGCTGGTTGATTCTTAAATCGATTTTGAGATATTTGCATCATCCCAATTTGACAAATTATTGGTGAAAATTGATTGTTAATTATCAATTTATTAGTTATTGTCTAGTCTATCATCTTTTGGATGAATGTATTATTTTGGGACAGTCGAGTAGATTTGGGAAACGGGGACGAGCGGAAGAAGATGAGGGGGGGATGGTTTAAGAAAAACGTATTTTTTCTTCTTTAAGTGTATTTTTTTGGTTGGTTACATGTTTCAAGTTTTTATGGCAAAATTACATATGTCATTTTTTAATTGGTTCATTTGACATGTCATTGGCAAGTGTAACTCACGTATATGCTTTGCTGTAATCGGGTGTTTACTTGATCTACTTAATAACCACTTGAAGTGTCAAAATAAAAAAAACTTAATTGATTTGATCGTTGAGAACAACTTAAAGGGACTGTTTATGTATTTGAGAAGTAAAATGAGTGTGTGTGTGAGAGAGAGTGGGGGAGTTTTGGGGAGAAAAGTTTAAGAAGAAAGAGAGAAAACATTTAGAATAAAGAGAGGGGGGGGGGGGGGGGGGGGGGATAGATATGTGCGCTGATTTGTGCTATATTTTTGGATAAAAGTAATTTTGATTACAAATAGTTATATTTCTTAATGTGTGTTTGGCTGAAGGGTGCCAATATCTTTAAGTGAGGCTCTTTTTTGCTAATTGTTAGGGAAGTTGTCACCTGGTACCAAATTCCTTAATTTTTGTAAAAATAGCACGGGCTAGCCAATTTTCAGATTGGTCATTCAAAAATAACTAGCGTTTGCAAAGTCATTAAAAAATAGCCACTATTTTACCGCAACAGGGACCTGCCCAACACAATATACTAGAGATCGATGCACCTGTGTATGAACTTCCAGCATATTATGTTGGAACTCCAACACGCGGAAAGTTCCAGCATAATATACTGGAGATTGGAGCACTTGTGTATAAAATTTCAGCATATTATACTGGACCGGTGTATTATACTGGAACTTTAGTATATTATGCTGGAGTTCTAGTATACTTATGCTGGAACTCCATTATAATATGCTGGTGTTCCAGTATACTTATGCTGGAACTCCAGTATAATATGCTAGAGTTCCAATATACTTATGTTGAAACTTCAGTATAATATGCTGGAGTACAACAACAACAACGTTTGAATGTGAAGTATAATTGAAACTTCACTACTTATGTTGAACAACATACTCCATAATATGCTGGAGTATTTTTCGGATTTTAAATAGTGTTTTCGTTTGAATTTTTCAATTACTTTTGAAACTGTAACTATTTTTAAATAACTACTTGTAAGTCTGGCTATTTTTGAATTTCTCCCCTAATTTTTTGCTAGTTGAAACTATTTCTGGGTAAAAGCCATGGGCCTACTAAGAAAAAGCCCAAGTAACCCATTACGGATAGCCCAAATATCCTATCACCAACATGGGCTACAAACCCTAGTAACCCAACCCTAATCAATCTCGACGTACTGACAAAAAAGAAAAGAAAAAAATCTACCAACTTCCCCTGTATATAAAAATCTCATAGGCATATCTTTATTTTGCTGTCTCTTCTCTCTTCAACCAATTTTTTTTCGGATTGCACTTTTGCTACACAGTCTGATATAGTGAAAAGCATAGTCGTTAGATTTCGGATCAGAGAAAATGGCAGAGGAAGAAGTGATGGTGGAAGCAACAACAACAAGCGGCCCGGTTCCATCGGATCATCACAAGAGAAAGCTGGAAGATTTCGAACCTGAAGAAGTCGGGTCGGACCCGAAACCGGAAGCGGAGTCGGATTCCGTGCAAAAACCTCCTGCTGATGAGGAAGATGTTGATGGGTCTGAAGCTAAAAGACCTCGTTTGGAGGATAACAAAGCTAATGGATTAGGTATTAGAGCTAACCCTTGGTAGAATTTAGTTTGTTTTAAAGTTTTGCATTGTGATTTTTGTGCAGTTTCTTGGGTGTTTTTTGGTCGTTATTGGTTTTTTTTTTTTGTACAGAGATAAGGCTGATGATTTTGGTTTATTTTCTTATGTGGTTTGCTTTATGCCTTGCATTTCTTGGAGTGATTTAACCTTTCAGAGATTTATACGTTTAGGAAATATACAGAACTTCTACGACTTTTTATTTGCATTTTGCATAATATTGCATGATATGAGTTTAAATGGGATAACATGGTCACTCAGTGGCGGATCCAGGATTTTGGGNTTTTTTTTTTTTGCTTGTACAGAGATAAAGCTGATCATTTTGGTTTATTTTCTTATGTGGTTTGCTTTATGTCTTGCATTTCTTGGAGCCTTTCAGAGATTTATACGTTTAGAAAATATACAGAACTTCTACGACTTCTTATTTGCATTTTGCATATATGAGTTTAAATGGGATAACATGCTCACTGATTCATATAGCTGACCTCAACTTATTTGGGACTGAGGCGTAGGTCCTTATGATATTGTGGTGGAAAATTGTTTTGACGAACTACTTTTGATCTTTCTGGGAAATGCTTGAGAAAGGGAATTGTTTTTCGTGCTGCCCACTTGAAGTGGGCTGTGTAGAAAGAGTGGATATCTGTGTAGTGAATGTTTATAGTGAGTTGATATTTTATGGAAGAGTTCTCTTAGGGATTTGGAATTGTTGTAAAATGTGAGAAATATCAAAGACTGTGTATGGGAAGTCTGATGTGTTAAAGCTTGTTTCCATGTTTTTACTGTTTTTTCAGCAGCCCAAAATGGTTATGAGGAGAAGATAGAGGAAGAGCCGAAAGAAGATGACAATGTGCAGCCGTCAGAGGCTGAAAAGAATGATACTCACCCAGAGGTGTCTCAAGAAGTAGCCACGGAAGCTGCCGAATCAGTTAGGGAACAACCTGCTGATACTGATCAGAAAACAGGGGATGTTGAACATTCTGATGCTGAAAAAATTTCTGAGGCAGAGAAGAGTTCACAGGTAGATGAACCATCTAAAGGTGACATTCAGGAGCTTGATGTAGAGAAGAGTACACAGGTCGATGAGCCATCTAAAGGTGAAGGTGACATTGGGGAGCCTGATGCAGAGAAGAGTACACAGGTCGATGAGCCGTCTAAAGGTGACATTCAGGAGCCATCAGCTGAAGCGCCTGAAACAGAGGGTGTTCAGCTCGATCAAGAGCATCCAGCCTCTGATGATCAAACATTTACACGCAAAATGGAGGTCCCCAATAATAAGGTGATGAGAAGACGACATCTTGTTGAAAAATTTGTTTTATTAATTATGAAGTCTGAATTTATATTCTCCTAGTGGGGAGTAATCAGCTAGGCACGTGGAGAACTCCTGGCGTTTCGTAACATAAGCAGCCAGTTTAACAAGCTCTAAAGTATATCAATTGTGTGCTGAATTGAGTCACTTTCATGTGGGAAATGATTATTTCTTTTGATGTTAAAGAGTGCAGCAGAAATGGATATTTTCTGAGCTACACAAGGTGAAAATTTTAAATCAAGAAAACCTGGTGATAATATTTGGTTATGATTAAGTTGACCCTTGTAGAATTTGCAGTGGATATTATTTGGTCCTCCTGTGTGCTATTTCACCTTGTCCAGCATTTGACTTGAATCTTATAGAGTTCTATGTAAAACTGGTACAGGTTGGGGTTCTTATTGGAAAATCCGGGGATACTATTCGATACCTGCAATACAACTCGGGAGCTAAAATTCAGATAATGCGTGATGCTGATACAGATCCACATGCTGCAACCAGACCTGTCGAACTGATTGGAACATTAGAAAATATAAATAAAGCTGAAAAATTAATAAAGGATGTCATAGCTGAGGTATGTGGTTTGTCTTGTGACCATTTCCTTTTGTCATCTTCCCAACTTTTATGGTTCACAATGTTGGCTCTCTAGGCGGATGCGGGTGGTTCTCCTGCACTTGTGGCTAGAGGCTTTGGCACTGTGCAGGCTGTGGTTGGAGAACAGATCGAGATACAAGTTCCAAATGAGAAGGTTGTATTTGTTACTTGTTCCACTCTCTTTACCTTTCGTCCCTCCCCAATTCGACTGGGGACTTTGTGGGGGCAGAGGAGGTTATTATTTTTGATTCTTTAGTTTCCATGATTGACAAGGGCCTGTCTTCTCCTCTTGCTCTAGGTTGGTTTAATTATTGGAAAAGGTGGGGAAACTATCAAGAGTCTTCAGACAAGATCAGGGGCACGAATTCAGGTATTGATAACCCTATGATTTCTGTTGGCACATATTTTGTGCAAAGTAGTTTTACTATTAGAGGCAATCAATTCACTTGGTTAAATTATCAAAATTAATGCTCTACTATTTCCCTAGCTGGTTCCACTTCCTTCTGATGGAAAAGAATCTAAAGAAAGAACAGTGCGAGTGACTGGTGATAAAAAGCAAATTGATATGGCAAGAGAGATGATCAAAGAAGTCATGAGTCAGGTTTGTTTGGATGTTCTGCCTTATTCTTTAAGTGCGCTTGTGTGAGGTCCATTTAGGTGTATTCAATGCAGTTTAATATTTCAGATCAGTATTTCTGATATAAGCGTATTTCATTTCATTTTTGTTAATGGCCATTTCTTGAACACTTTTTCTATAAGTAACTGTTTCTTGAATACGCATAGTTGATACTGTGACATGCCTACAATCAGGTTTGAGCCTGGAATTTTGGACAGAAATGTATGTTTTAGGAACTATCAGTAAATTTCAGATGCAAATCTCGGACTTAAGTAACATAAAGCAATGTGTTCTTTATATAACATAGTATATTTTGAGCCCTCATGGCTTTACTTTAGTGGTAAGAGCCCAATGCATGACGTGTGAGTTAGGCGTATGTCACGAGCTCAAACCCTGATACCGGAAAAAGCCTAATGTTTAAGTTGAGAAGGGTAGATGATGGACGGCTGCCCTGAGTTTACTCAGTTATCAAAAAATAACTCAGTATAATTTGTTGATGTGCAACATCTGTTGAATTTGATGTATGTGTTATGGAAAATCGTGTAGAATGAAATTATGCCTCCTGTTTTCTGTTTAGCAGTTGATTTATTCTCGTATAAAATGACAATTTTACTAGTTCAATTAGAAGTTACATGTTAAGAATAAACGTATTTAGCTGATCTTCTGAAGTAATAGTATGGCTCTTACCAGTAGGAGGGTACCAACGAGTTTTTGGAACATTTGCATGTTTCTTAGTGTCACTAAGGGGGCATAAAGTTCTCTGCTTACAAGGGGTCAGTGTGAAAACTCTCTTAATGGTTTTACTTGAGGCACTTGTTTAGGTAGAATATGGTGCTGTACTACTGCCTTGCTATTCATTGTTTACAAGTTCCAGTTGGTGACTTTGCTAGATCTGAACTGCTGAAGGAATGTATTAATGTACTCTTAGGATTAAATTAATTGCCTATCTTGTAGTGGTTACTCTGTTATGTGTGGTGAGTAGGCGTTTTGCATGAGATGAAGAAAAATGTCACATGATGGGAGCTTGTTTCTTAGTGAACGTTCATAAAAGTTTGTGTGCCGGGTCAATTGAATACAGTTAAAGAGAATGTTGTGTTGAAATGGGATGTCGGTTGCCGTGATTTATATTTGTCAATGGGTGCCAATTTCGAATTGGTTGGCTTTAAAAATGCAGATTTGGATTTTGTCTTTGACATCACAGCATTGCGTTGGTGTAGCCATAGACAACTACTATTCACTCTCGACCACCGAAGAGAGGTATCAAGCATTAACCCTCGCCATTGCAGATGTTAATAGTTTTGGTAAGATTGCTTCGAGACTTAAAAACTAAAAATGATAATAATAGCAAGGTTATTATATTAGAAGAGTACTCTCTGGATACCATGCTCTATGCAAGACACCATGTTGCAGAATGCCATCACTAGTTAAATCATCTTTATTGAGTGTACTATATCCATGATGCAATCTGATCTCATAATATCTTAAACATAGGAGAACTGAATAGCCGGCCTTTTGACTTGCATTAACACGTGGTGTTTGGAAGTAGTATGACTACCATGGTATTACACAATTGAATGCAATAAAAAAGATGTTCTTTTATTCAAGACTGGATATTGATAGTTCTGCTTCTTATGTGCATGTATATTTTAAGATGCTTGATATGTATCAAGAAACATCAATTTCTTTTCCTTGATAGTGTTATGGGAGACTCATCTGATCCCATTTTGGCAGTTGTGTTTGATATTTTCTTGAAGCGTCATTAGATTGCTAATTCTGCTTTTATTCTTTACATTTTCATCAATGCTCTTGCTATCTACTATTCATGTTTTATTATAACTCAATGCAAGTACAATCTTTGGATCTGTGTATGTGTGTTTTCTTGCAGTTGTCACCCTGCTACAGTTCAAGCATCTACAAGTTTCATTTACTTCGTTTCCTGGCAGCTATTCCTGAGCTTGTCTTATTTTTATGCTTATATTTTCTGTTTAAATCTGCAATCATGTGCTAACTTCTCTAGATGTCTTTCTTTTTCACAATGGCGTGATAGCCTGTTGTAAGGCCATCAACACAATCTTCGGGTTATGGTCAGCAGGCATTTCGCCCACGTGGCGGAGCTGCTCCCCCACAATGGGGACCCCGAGGTGGTCATCCTGGGCAGTTTCCAGGTTATGATTACCATCAAAGAGGACAATATTCATCTCGCAGCCCACAATATCCACCTCCTGCTTATGGAAATTATCCTCCACAGCAAGCACCAAGAGGCGGATTTGGTCAGGGTTGGGAGCAAAGGCCTCCAGCCTCTATGCAGGGCCCTCAGTCACAGGTTAGTGTTTATAATTATTAATTGCACTATATAGCCAATGCCTCAGCATTTGCTTCCCTCTTTAAAATTCGTACTCATTCTTTCTGGTCCTTTAATGGGTCTGTCTTCTCAGGCAAACTACAGCTATGGGCAGGCACATGGTCCAGATTATGGCCAGTCATACCCTCATCATCAAGCACAGCATGGACAAGGCTATGGGCATGGATACACTGATGTAAAATATGATCACCAGATGGCACCACAGAATCAGTATGGAGGACATGGACCTTCTCAGCCGACATCTTACCCTCAAAGTGCTGCACATCCCAGCTATGGCACACATGAACAATATGGTAAACCTCCTTCATATGGTATGCATCCACAGGCTTCCCATTCGCAACCTTACAGCCATCCCAGGGCTAATCAACCTGGAGAAGTGCCATATCAGCAGGGTCCAGCTCCATCAACTCAAGGATATGGTGCTAGTATGCCGCAGCAGCAGCAGCAACAGCAGCAATACCCCTATGCATCTAGTGGGCAAATGCAACAAACTTACCCTGCATATGGATCCACCGTTACCGCCGATGGATACAATCACCCACAAGCTGCTCCAGCTTCTGGTCCTGGGTATCCTCAGCAGGTATCCTCAGCAGCTTCTGGTACAGGATATGGTCAGCCTGTACCACAACAACCTCCTGCTTATGCCCAAGCAGCCCCTGCTGGAGGTTACAGTTCCTACCCTTCGCAGCCTGCTTACACTGAACAGCAGGCGACAGGCAGTGCAGGCTATTATCAGGCACCAGTTGACCAAACTTACAGTGGTGCTCAGGCTTCAACTACTTATAGCGCACCATATACTGGACAGCAAGCTTATGCTCAACCAGCTACAGTTCCTGCTGCAGCCCCGGCTCAGCCTGGTTATGATCAATCCATGGCTCAATCAGGTGGTTATGCAACTGTACCTGCTGCTGCTGGTTACGTGAAGAGTGTCTCGCCCCAGCCTGGTTATGCACAGTATGATGCTAATCAGATGTATGGTGCCCCAAGGTGAACTTGTTATCTGATGAAATTGTTTGAGGGAATGTGTTCTGGCGTTCTTGTTCACAACTAGGCTGTTAGTTCGTATTAGTTTGAATTTCAGATCATTTTCATGGCACATGGAATATTTTATTAGTGCAATGTGTACTTTGTTTTTGCTTTGTCAGCTTCATACACGCCTAATCATAAATGCTAAGAATTTATGTGAAGTCGGTATTTTCTGCTTCACAAACTTTTTGTAGGCATATGGAACTCTTGTGCTAGTTGTAGAAATGTATTTTCGAAGTCTTGCGTTGGTAGATTTTCAAATCTATTGTAGGTTGATTTCCTCGCCAGAGTGCAATTTCACCATATGATTGTGTGCAAAATTAAAAGAGTTTCTGTTGGTTGAAAACGAGTATTTGAAAGTTATATGTGCATGTACCTTCTTCAAGTCTAGCGTGCCATTATTTTTCCAAGGTAAGACAATTTTGGATCTTCCCTTGCGTGGAGGCAAAACGTGAGATTAAGTTGTCTTTGTAATTACGATAACTTTGTATCTAATTTACCCCCAGGAAAAAAAAAAGGGAAATATATTAGTAGGAAGAAAACTGGTTTGATGTGTACAAAACTAGCATGGCACTGCAGATTTGACTCGCGTGAAGTCAGGTTAATCAAAAGAGATTCATTAAGTGCTAAAATTTTAGCGGTTCCAATTTGTAACTTTCTCAAATGCTCCCGTCTTTGTTGAAATAGGTTAAGTGTTTACTAATGATTGTGATTAACCAAATCTAGAATGTTGGAATGAAGGTAAAAATAGCACGGTATAACCAATTTTCGAACTGGTCATTCAAAAATAAAATAGCCACTATTTTGCTGCAACAGAGACTGGTCCAGCATAATATACTGGAGTTCGGTGCACCTATGTATGAACTCCAGCATATTATGTGACAATGACTGGACGTTCCAAGATTTCTTATGACATTAACAATCTTCATCCACAAGAATAGTTGATTCACTGCCAACTCCAAAGTCAATTAATGATGCCATATCATCATCAAGCAGTGTTGCGAATGGGGAACCCTGGGAAAGTCCAACAAGAAGATTCTAAACATAAAATTCTGAAAATCTTAAACACTGATAAATCATGACAACAGTGACTGATGTGACCATTATTAGCATACGTACCTCTTCCTGAAGAAATAACTTTGGCTTAATAGATTTTATCTTGAAGAAACTCTCACATAGGATTTTCAGCTTGCCCACCTGAATGGAGCAGAGATAAGTAGAAAGCTTTAGACCATAAAGCAATCAAATGCTTGTCTAGTAAAGGAAAAGGATCATACCGTAGTTGTCGCAGGCAGCTTTTTAGTCAATGGGGCCTTTTCACCAATTGACGCCGCAACACACTTCAGAGTAATAGCTGCAGAAGGCAAGCATGAGCGGTAAGAGCATTTTCATGAATCCGATTAGGATCTAAATTTGGCAAAGTTTAGAGGTGACAGTCAATACAAATGAGCCCTGATGCCATTTTTTGTGGACCCGTAGATCCACTTGCAGCCTTTTGATCCTCAATTCCGTGAAAAGATTTCAGCTCTGCAAATCTGCACCAATTAACACATACTTAGAGTGCTAGATAGGGCTTATAGTTAATACTCTGAGTTGCTTAAGAAACAGAAGGTGACTAAAGTAAATGTAGTATTCAGATAAAAAGGGCAGCCCGGTGCACTAAGCTCCCGCTATGCATGGGGTCCGGGGAAGGGCCGGACCTCAAGGGTCTATTGTACACAGCCTTACCCTACATTTTTGTAAGAGGCTATTTCCACGGCTTGAACCCATGAGTATTCAAATATAAGCGAGTAAATAGAAAACAGAGAATAGGTTGAGGTATTTATTTCCAATGTAGGTACTGCAAATTTTTCAAAACATCCTCTAAACAATCAGTACCAATGGCACAAGCTAACATTTGCCCAAGCCAAAGACAAAATATACCAAATATTGGCTTATATACTAGCCTCATAAAAAATATTTGAAGATATATGTAACGTACTAAATAAAATAAATACCTGGGGTGCAGCTTCTTAATTTCCTCTGCATTATCATGGCTTTTAGACATGACCAATCTGACATACCTGCAGAAGGATTTGAAAATCTATTTATCTGAACAATGACTGGACTAGAGTCTAGTAAAGTGTCTCAAGTTGGTGTATTTTTCGAAGAATCAATCAGCAACAACATAGACAACACTAGCCTCATCCAGCAATGCTTTGCAAATGGAAAAGGAAAAAAAAAAAGTTAACATCAGAATAACCAACAAATAATGTGTCTCAAGAGTTAGCGGAGTTTAAACAGAACATATGCCTAGACTTCTCAAAGAACAGCTGATGCAGGTTTAAGAGACATAGAGAATAAGAACTTTCATTTAGTTTTTGGCTTCTGTTTAGAAGTTTTCGTAATTCTCTTCAGTAAATATCTCAAATAAGGCTTACAATTTAATATGCACATAGACTGAACACATTTTCGGTATATTATGAGGACCCAGCAACATATTTCCCCCCCACCCCTCCGATAAAGAAGGGAACAAAAAAGGACAGAAAAAGAAAGAGGAACTAAAATAGGTGATTAAATTTACAAGTCCAGGTGCCACCTTTCCACTAATGATTTAACAAAATTTAGTTAAAGCATGGTTCTCAACAGTAAACCAGCTACATAATGGATTTAAGATTATTCATCAAACAATAGAAGTGAAGCTAAAGAAGATGATCTGAAACTAAGTTAAAGATAAGAAAACAGCCAGCGAGAAAGGTAACTAATTGAAGTCAGATTTCTAGAGGCATAGGTAAATAATAATATGATCTAGATGTAATCACTCCGAGTTCATTAGGACATGCTACATCAGAAAGAGAGAACATACCGAATTTCAGAGTCTTTCCTCTCTCGAGGACTAACCTGAAAGAAAAAGAAGGCATGAAAAACTTGAGCAACTTCAAATGCTTGCAAAAATGAATCAGTAGAATATGAAGAATTTACCTGGCTTCCGTTTAAAGTTTCAACTTTAGCAAGGCGAGCAATCAAAACAAACCGGGGCACACCACCTTTCCCTGGATCTGCTATAGGATTCTCAGAAAGCCTTATATCCTACCAAAAGTTTGACCAAATAACATGAATTTGAAACAAGATTCTTAAGCTTGTAGCGAGTTACATTTTCTAGGTGCTATACTTTTATAGCTAGCAGGCAAGTAATTTTTTAGATTACAGTTAGCAATCCCTTGGTTTTTAATGACATAAGAACTTCGGACAACAGAAGGCAATAGGACTTCATTTTCTTCCTTACGGGGTGATAAGAATTGCACATACCCACCCCCTTCTGACTATGTCACATTAGTTCTTCCCGTATGTTATATCAAGTAGACCAATGCAATGTTTTGAGCAGTTAGCGATATTTTTTTAGAAATTTCTTCATTTTATTTTTTTGACTATAGTTATTCTGATAAATACACACTCAAGATTCAACCGCATTCTTCAGGAAGAACGTTAAATGTTGGAGGGAGGTGAAACAAAAGCAACACAAACCATAACGTGGAAACACAGAACCCTTGCTCAAATTAGTGACAAAACGTACAGCTTAAACATCACTGTAAGCTTAGCATGCACTTAGCTCATTGCGACTTATTGATGGAAAAACTAATTTATTATGACAATCCAAGAACTTTCTCAAATATGATTATACAAAGGTCAGCTACAAATAAAGTAAAATAAAAACCACTCTGGCTTATAGTTCTCACAAACCCATAATAGATGCAAAGAGAACGATTTATCCCTCGAGTAAAATGCTAAGTTCTAAATTACAAAAACCATTTGGATACAAAGTGAGATCCAATAACAACCACATTAAGCCCACTACCATACCGGCAACGTATTCCGGAAGATAGAGAAAAGGACACACATGTAGTGGTTGCATAGTTTCATGATATGCATCTAATGTGTAACACCATAATAGTTAGATCACACATAAGAAGCTCCAACACAAAAATTAGATCCAAACACCAGTTTATTACATCCGAAAGTTTTTCCTATAATAACAAATCTTTATCCAGTTAATTCATGAAAAATTCGTGATCAAATCAAATGGTCTGTACTATAAGAAAAATCTTACCAACAAATTAGGGAAAAAATTAAGAGAATCAATAGAAGCAAGATCTTCAATTTTGTTCCCACCTGTAAATGTAACACAAACTACCAGTTATATCTCAATTAAATATCCAGGATTAAGGTTAGTTCTCAGAGAGTTGTAGTATTACCCACAAGAAGGCAACGGAGATTCTGGAAAGGCCTAAAGCTTTCCCCAAGAAGTTCATGACCGTTGGGTGGTTCAGAAGATGAATTATGATCAGGGTACCAGATACGGCCGACACAGTTGTTATTCAAAAAGAGCTGTTCCAATCTGAATGCAAGACGACAAACTAAAATCTCAATGAGATGCAACATAAAAATAATGTGTTTGAAGAGGACATTAATTTGCAGCACCTTTTTAACTGTGACAGCTTCAAGATTTCATCCCAAGCGACTATAAAGTTATTCTCCAAATTGAGAAGACAAAGATAATCAAATCCATGAACAATATCTGAAGATAATGGCTAGAAAAGGAATAAAAATTTATAAGCAAAGATTCAGTGAATAATTTATAGATCATATATGAAGAGATGCATCCTTGTACTTCATATGGGAAACTCATTTATTACTCTCTTGGTTACAGACGTAATAGTAGTACAATAACTAATTGTTCTTGATGTCAGTTACTAGGAAATGAAGTGCGATCATTGATGAACACATTACTCAGAGGAGAGAGCTAATAGGAACTTTCAAACAGTATATATGCCTTTCATCTGAAAGTTTCAAATTTTGCTCTTGTAATTCTGGAACCGATACTTGTCTAGACATAATCTGTTAAATTGGTTTCAATCCGGTTAATGTTCTCCACCCTAATGGGTGAAGGCAGTAGCAAATTTCATTGCCCCAGTTTTCAGGTGGAAAACAGAACTAGAAAAATACTTGCTATCACCATGCAGAATCTCATAAAAAAAAAACTAAGTGATCAATGCGAGATATATGGGTTTTACTTTTCAACTTTTGAAGAAATGGCATAAAAAACCTAAATTGGCATTCTATTTCTATTTGGTTTTGTATCCAAAATCATCTTGTGACCATCGCTAAGAGCAGCTCCCCGAAATCCTCTAATGGCCAGCAGTCATCCTCTATCTCGCATATGATCTATGCCCCCGTTGGAAAATGATGATGATCCAGGTACAAAAGCAAAAGTAAAGGTTGGAGTCACAACAAAGTATCTGCCAGATAAGATGAATCCCCATGCAAACTCACGGGCTTCAAATCGCAACTTTTTTTTCAATAGTTCCTTTAGTTTTTGTAATAGCTTCTCTAGCATGATTAAACATAAATCGACAAAATTTGAAGGATTTTTACTGGCTACTGAGTATACACTAGTTTGCTTTGTTATGTGACAAGTTTTTCCGGTCTAACAGCTTATTTGGATGGTTGTTACCTATTGTACTGTATTGTATTATTATTTTAAATATGATGTTTGTTTTGGTTGTTACTTAGATTTTATTGTATCGTATCGTTAAATTCGTTGTTATATGACAATGAAAAGTGCTACTTTATGTAACAGCTGATTTGGTGTGGTTGTTACCTTATTTTTCTCTCATCTTGCCCTTCCTTCTTATTAAATAATCCTAATTTATCCTTTACCCTACCTTTTTATATAATAATTCTACCTTGTACCCTACTTTTTCTTTGTAATATTACAAGTTTATTCTTCATATGTGTGTGACATCATGAAACGACGACAAATGATACAATCTATTCAAACATTGTATTCATCAAAACAATACAGTACAATATAACATCATACAATGCTATACATTATGAAATGATATCTAACAACCATCCAAACAAGATGTAAGAGCGAGAGCACAAAAGATACAAAGAAGATGAAAATATAATGTCATAACACAGCTATTTATCTTCACTAAACAAGAATTAATAGAACTTGTGGATAATAACATAGAAATTTGAGATTCAGCTGCAAATAACTCTAATAAGGGAAAACACACCGCTATTTCTCTCAGTTTGTTTCCCATCAGATGAAGCTCTTCAACAAGAGGGAGAGAGTCTTTAAGCATTTCAACCTGCCAAATGAAATACATCACACTCAATAAATGATTAAGTTACATGGAAGAAGACAGCAATAGGTCCACTCTCACCTGTTTCCAGCTTATACCAGTGTGATTCAAAACCAAAACTTTGATGTGGTTTAGCAGGGGCATCCCACTTATATCGTGAGACATGATGTTGTATGATAAATTCAGAGTTATGAGAGCCGGTAACTCTTTACAGATTGCAGCAATTTCCTGCGAGGATATGCTTGCTCAGATAAACAGTATTTGATGCATGGAGAGAGAATGCACTGGTATCACAGTTCTGCATACTACGATGCACAAAAATGAAATACAGTCATGCAATCAATGATATGACTAGACTTTTCGACATCGATTCTCTACATTCTGCAGTCCAACTAGGTATTATGACCAATAAGCTGGACTCAAATGCTTTGTTGAGACTAGGTCAAAGAAGAATTGTCCCTTTTAGAGTTGAAAATCCAACATATCTAATGAAGTACAATCTGAATCGAAAGGTTTTATGGAAAAGGAAATCAGCATGGCCTCAATCATCCCCTCTCCTTCCATGTTGATATCTAAACTTCCTCCAACCAACCTCCAATTCACATGACAAATTTTCAGTCTAATGTTTGAGACACTTACAATCCAACAGACCTTTGAAACTATTCAGACTTCAGATGCAACTAATCATTTCAGATTTAAACCACGATCTGATATTCTTTTTGAGAATGGTAACATATTTCTGTGTATATATGTAGACATCAGCACAAAGTTTGTGCCGGAAACCAAAATGTGGGTGTTACATAAAAAAATGGAACATTAAAAAAAAACATTCCTTGCTCTTCTTACAAGGAACCTAATATCTTTAGACTTGCCTCAGGATCATCTATGTGTTCCGACTTACACCAAAAATTGAATAGAAGAATACAATTCCCCTTAATTTTCTGTAAAGAACTACTTGTGTCTTCAAACACCTTTTTAGCTAGTTCACCATTTTTACTACTTATCAGAAAAGTTTGCCTTCTTTGAAAAGTATGTCAGGTGGTCAAATTAACTTCTTAATCCACATCACAAATAAAAATCACCACAAAATTGGATACAGTGAAAACCAAAACGTCGGGTAAACAGTCAACAAGTAGAGAATGCTTCATAGAGAGGATCTGATTACAATCAAACAGAATATGATCTGACTTCATTCAGAGAAGCAATGCATTACCCTCCAGTCAGAAAGCAGGTTTCCAGTCAAATCAAGCTCCTTTAACCCTGCAACAATGGCATGCACAATTCAGGCAACATTTTGCTTCCTGTCCGAAAGCTCACAGGGTTGAATAATAACATTGAAACAACTAACACGTAAGCATTTGCTAGAAGATAAAAAGCAACAAAAACAACAACTAAAACAGCAAAATAAAAGAAGAACCATGAGATCTTTAACAAGTTAGGTTGGCTATGAATCCTTAATATCCATTTGCTCCATTTGGACACAATGCACTCCAATACTCAAAAACTTGTCTTTAAGACAAATTAACGGTTCTCTAACACTAGAGTTTCTCGATATTTTATATTGATATACTGATATATCTATATCATATTAAAAGTGGGAAGCCCATAACTAAAAAGTTGAATTACATAACTGCCCTTCTAAATCACTTAAATATCCTATATTATTACTTATTTAATTCAATAATAATGTATTAACATAAATATTTAAAAGTATCAAAGAAGAAAATCGAATATTTGAAAGGTTGTGTTCCTTCTTCTTTGTGATCAGCTTACTTTTGAATTCATTCAACCATTGGCTACCTTTCAAAACAAAGCCTATTCATTTAAAGGCTTTAAACTTGCATCAAATATGGTACACCAACGAATGAATAGTCATTCCCTTCAAAATATTCCGCCAGTTCTTTCTTCGTTAGATATACAAAGAATTATTCATTCTTCTTAACCTTCTACCAATTCTTTTTTTTTTTTGATGAAGTAACTTTCTACCAATTCGTTTTCACGGTCAATTCTTCTAAGATTTCTTCTTTCTATTGGGTTGAGTTTCATTATAGTACATTCTAATTCCAAATATGATTCTTCAATCTATGTGTATTTTTGTCTGATTCTGATAATATGATGTTTTCTATAAATTTTTTTGGTACTTTTTTTTTTTGTAATCAATTTGTGTATGGAATAGTGATTTAGAACTTGAAAATTTGGGTTAGTGGAAATTTGAGAAAAGTGCGTTTGTAGATGTTGCAAGCATTGTTTTACTAATATTCAATGGATGTGTGTCAAGGAAAGCATAGAATACTATTTTTCTACTTAAGGCGAAGTACTTTTCTATTAGTTTGTCTGATAGTTGCATTAATTGCCTCGATGTGTGATAATGAACAACATGCACAAGGTATGACATCAGCATAGATATTACATGGAGGGTTTAGTGTTCTTTTTCTTAGTCGAAATATACTTTTCCATATTGAGCTCTAGATGCAACAACTTCATTTATTCTACAGCATTTATCTCCTTCTTAAAACTAAGGTTAATAAAAAGATAGTCTAACACTCTTGGCCTTATTAACTGTAATATATTTTTGCACTATTACAATTTGATTAAAAAAAAGGAAAAAGCAAGAGTTAACATATATATTTGAATATTTGACCAGAGGACTACCTATGGCTTTCCTCATTTGTATGGACGATATGTCCCAGGTTCACTATTTTGGAAGATTAGATCCATTTACACGATGACATATAACACTCGATGGATAGAGATTCAAGATGAATTTTTCAAAGTTCAACTAGTCCAAACTTGGTGACTCAAGTTTAATTTTTAAAGCAGAGTTGCATGATCTTAAGGACTAAATTTTCAAGAAAGAAATATTTTGGCATGTTGCAGAGGACATGGTTTTTAAATTGAATTTTTCAAGGGAGGCAAAGGAACATACATCAGGAATATCATCTATCAGAAATTATTGGTACACTTTATTACATGTGTATACCTCATAAAAATAAAATTAGTAAAAAAGAAACATGTATCTAATTAAAAATTTAATTGTTCATCTTCGTAGGTTCAGAATCTTCATACTGACCTCGACAAACAAGTCCGTACACATTGATTGTTTACAGAAAGTTGTATTATTCTTTCATGCATATTTATTTACTCAATTTTTTTTAATAAGGTAAAGATTTCATTAAATAAGTACCAAGATGGTACACAAAAGTACATGAAAGAAGGCTTGAGAATAGCCAGTTACAATACTTTCCAAGCATCTCAATAAAGCCCAAATATTGATCTACATTCTCCAAAATAATGTTCTTACACCAGAAATACAAATTATGCAGACAATTATTCTTAATTCTAGAGATATGTTTTCTTTGTCCTTCAAAGCATCGCTTGTTTCTTTCCAGCCATAAAGTCCAAAATTTTATTTTAATACTCAGACATACACGTCCAACGCACGTGCCAAAAAATTAGTAATTCTAAACACTCCTGGCAACACCGCACCTAATTTAAGTGTACTAACATGCTAACCCTTAATCCCGATTAGCTGGTGTAGCCTGTATGGATCTTTTGTTTCATTATGCTACGTTTTTCCTTAAAACCACATGGAATTTAGAGATTGTAAGTCTTTTGAATCTTAGGATGAAAATCCTAATATAAATAGTATGCAGGAGATGTGTAAGTATTTTACAACTCAAGAGGACAAAATAAACTTGTTAGTCGGCTTTCTTGCTTTCAGTTCAATAGGTCATGTTCAATTTCAGAAGTATTGAATGTATTTGCGATTTTCACACCGTTATGGACTTCTTCTAAGGTAGGCTGTAGACTTAACAACTTCAAAATATGTAAGGCAAATAACTACCCAGGGAAGCAAGACTACTTACCTCAATATTGCAACCATAACCTGAATATGTTTGGTTGCATTCCCATCTTCAGATAATAAAACAAGAAAAGTTCAATGTAACATAAGTTTCTTGGTCATATTGCTTAAGTTTTCAGCCATTTGGCGCTCTGTAGTCTTTCCTTCGAAATTGCTTTAAAGCCATGTTCGACTAATTCCCAAACCTTTATATCACTAATACCTGCTTCCATGGATACCTAAAACCCCAAACATAACTGATCAGCATGAGACAGTCCTAGTTCTTTCAACCGTTCAACTCTCTACTGTCTTATCCTTGATCACCCAACCCAACCTTTAGCCTTAGCAGGACTCACTTCATTCATCTGCAATGTTCTCATATATTTTTAAAGATTGATCCTGAATCTTAAAGATCACATGCACTTAAGGAAAAAGAATGACAAAAGTATGAAAATTAATCAAATAATGATACTCTGCAAATGAATATTACTCAACTACAAATGCAAAAACAAGCTTTCTTGTCCTCAATGGGATAGTTCAGTTATTGAGGGATAGAAGAAACAAATACGAGATCCTAAGTTCAAATTTCATCTACAGGACTCAGTGTGAACAAATCAGCTCTAACCTTGGTGCATAGGTTTACTCGACATCTATGCTTGTACATTGTAGCAAGCTTGGATGTTGTAGAAAGCCCTCGATGGATTAGTATATGTGAGCGCAAGCTGGTCCGGCTAATCACCGTCATGTAAATAAAAAGAACCCAACTACTATCATCTATTACTTCGTTCACCCCAATCAAACATCGACATTTCATCTTTGTTCCATCCCAAAAATGTCCATTTTCCTAAAGAAAATTTCACAATACCTTACATAATAGTCTTCCTGAGTCACAAGGTAGGGGTAAGGTCTGCGTACACATTACCCTCCCCAGATCCCACAGGGTGGGATAATACTGGATATGTTGTTGTTGTTTACATAATAGTCAAGGATGTGTTGGTCCATCTTCTACATTTCTCAAAGTTCTTTATCCCTTTTCTATCCTTAGATTCTGCGGCATATATTCAAGAATATGCAATTTCAACTCTCATTCTTTAAACATGGAACTACTTTCCCACATATATATTGATATTGACACATCACACTTTGCAGCAATTCTTCTTTTTAATGATTGTATCAATCAAACATGGACACTCAATTTGGACAACTTGTAAGTAAGAAGCTTTCTAGAAGATGGACAGCCAACTATAAATGTGAAAGTTAACAGGAGACAACTTCAGAAAATAAAAAATTACAAACTCATCATCTTCTTTCCTGGCCAAACTTTAATAAATCGGTAATCAAACTACTGAGCTAGGATACAACAGAAGATAAGAAATTTCATAATCTACCTCATAATTAAAGTCAAATACTTCAGTTAACAGAAAATGAAAGTAAAGCACAAGAAGGAGAATGACACATCAAAACTTTAATATATGAAGGAACAATCATGTACAGTTAGGAAAAACTAGGCAAGTGGAGAAGCCCATAATTACTTGGTATAGTGGTATTGATATGCCCTTGGGGTCCAGCTGAGCTAACCCCAAAATAAGCAAGTGATGCACTTGTCAACTCCTCAAACCGACTCAGCCTGTTTTCAATTTTATCTTTACCCAGTAACTGAATAGATACCCGTTTGTTTGTCGCAGAAAGAACATACATCTCATCTGAAACATTATGCAAAGGAAAAGATTAAAGAAGTATATAACTGTTCAAGGAATGATGTCTTTGTTCCACAAGCTAGGAAATAATTGCAAAATTAGGATAAAAGATGGAGCCAAATAGAACCCATCATTGAACATCCCAAGAAACGAACAACCCATGCTTCATTTAGCAGGTACAATCGAGATAGCACCAGAGTCCTATGGTTTCTGAAACACACAATGCTGTTGGCTGGCTTTTTCACTTTGACGGAGCTATTTTAGTTGTTTATTCAGATTTCGTATTATTTACTTAACATGGTTAAATCACATATCTTTCAGCTCATAAGTTCTATTTTGCCAAAAGGCTAGTCTTAAAGCATCTTACTTTTTTTTTTTTATAAGAAATGCATTTTATTTACTAAAAATAACCAGGAAGATAAAATAAAATACACACGTGAAACACATTGATAACAAAGAACACAATAAAGTTAGTGCCCGTTTGATTTCAAGCATAAAGGGTGATAATACCCGTACAAATTCAGCATTACTTATACATTGTTTGGTCGTCATTTTTGTTGCTAACATAAATAAGTACATGTATAAGTTATGCAGGAATCTATGTATTCATTTATTCGGGATAGAAAGTGGAATAAGAATACGTTGATTAGTAATACATGGATTAAAGCAACTAAATGACCAAAGCACAATCCATTACCCATATATTTAAACTATACATTGTATAAGAAGTAATACCCATATAATAATCAATGCCTTACAATCCTTGCAATTTTTTATCCCTATATTACAATCTCTGCATTATTGTTCCCTGCGTAACTTGTCTCTAAAGTCTAAACCAAACGACCCCTACCATACTACTACAATTCCATTTTCATCAAGCACCAAAACAAATCACCCTCTAGAGAAAGCAAGAGTCTTTTGCACCCAGGTAAAATATATTGAATAAAAAAAAAGACTTTTCAATATCACTAAGCACAAGAAACCACCAAAAACTGACAACAATTATCAACTATTACCTTCTTCTTCTTTAGTGGATTCTCCATGATATCTAATCTCAAGGGCCTTCAAGAGTGGTATCCCGGAGCTAAGATTGTGAGGTCGAACAAACGACGCCGTTTTTGGGCCTTGAGCTTCGAAATAGCGAACCCCATTATGTGATCCATCGTGCTTGCCATATCCATTGTCCCAATCAACACCGACCCACTTTCCCTCATAGCCTTCTACTGCTCCCACGTACTTTACTGTTCCAATCCGACGAGTATCTCCGACGAAATGGACCCTTTGACCCACCAAGAGCTCGGACAAGTCTGACCCAGATTTGGATCCACTTGAAATGGGGTTTTCAGTGCCCACTGAACTCTGCATTTTTCGCACGAAAGCTCTTTTGAGTACTAAAGAGGTGATTTAAAGCAGAAAAGGAGAGGTTAGTTTTACTCTGTTTATTAAATTAAATTAAATAATCTTGTTATTCTTAACAAAAAATAAATTTGTTTATAAAATCAAAACATTTGTAGTCTGAATTCTAGTGAAATCAAAATATGTATTAAAAACTAACGTTGCTGGTTAGCCTAATAGCCTTTTTCTTTTTCGTTTTTCCCTTTTAAAGTTTCTAGAGTCAGGTTTGCCAATTTTTAATAGTATCAATTACTCTCCATTTTCATTTATGTGAACCTTTTGGGGACAACAAGAGATAAAATAACTAATTTTTGGTATAAATTCGTACCTGAAATTTTAAATTTTTGAAACAAAAACTTGCATATTTAAAACCTACATAAAAATATTATAAGTTACAATAGTTAACAATTCAAAATATTTAAAGAGTATTATAAAAAAATATGTCAAAAACTTTTTATTTGACTCCTCAAATAATAACATGTTCACATAAAATGAAACATCATGAATAATATTTTAAATGTTGTTAAGAAAATTGTAAAAAAAAAAAAAAAAAGGCAAAAATATTGATAATTTTACTATTGTAGTATGTTTACAAAAGTTTAAGAGATTTTGGGCAAAATTTGATATTGACCACTATCAATAAGGTTTACAAATATATTAAGATAGAGAAGACATCTACTACTCTTTTCGATCAAGTTTAAATTATCTATTTTATACTTTGAAAAATTATTTTCAACCGCATTAGTGAACAATGAACTTTAGAGCAACAAAAAAAGAAAAAAAAGCTCTCGAAATCATCTTTACACTTCATTTGTTCTTTGCATAGCCAAATCCCATGGCACATGCCTGTCACGACCCGGATTTTCCATTTTCGGAAGTCGTGATGAGGTCTACTAGTGAAAGCTAGGCAAACCAACTATTCCGATTAATTTACCCTTTTTATTTTTAACCTCTTAACAATTTCAAGTCAATGTATCATAAACAACGGAAAATAATAATGCGGAAGAAAGAAATTTAACAATTTAAGCTAATACCAATGTGAATCTATAAACATAAACCACCCAGAACTGGTGTTACAATCTCACGGACTATCTAAGATAAACTAAAAATAGGGTCTGAACAAGAAAGTACATGTCTGTCTCTAAAATAGAAAGAATAGAAAGAACTAGAGAAGATAGGGACGCCAAGGCCTGCGGACGCCTGCAAGACTATCTCGGATCTCCGATGGACTGAAGGCAACAACCCCTAGTTAAGGTTCCTATCCTCCAGTACCGGAATCTACACAAAAGAGCGCAGAGTATAGTATTAGCACAACCGACCCCATGTGCTGGTAAGTGTCGAGCCTAACCTCGACGAAGTAGTGACAAGGCTAGGACACAACAATTAACATAACCTGCAGTTAAATGTACCCAGCAGAATAACAGTAATAGAAGCAATTCAAAAGTAACGGGGGAAGGGTAACATGCTATGGGGAAAATACCAACATAATGAATCACAGTAATAATGGAATAAGACAATTAAGGTACTTGAACCGAAACAACAAGAAATCATAACAAACAGGCAATAAGTGCACGGTATCACCATTCGTACTTTTACTCTCAGTGCTCACCAATGCAATCAAGTAATGAAAATGTGCACGGCATCACCCTTCGTGCTTTATCTCTCTTCCTCACCATGTAAATATTAGAAATGTGCATGGCATCACCCTTCGTGTTTTATCTCTCTTCCTCACCATATGCATCAATATCAATGAAAACGTACACGGCATCACCCTTCGTGCTTTATCATTCTTTCCTCACCAAATGCATAAATATGAATGTGCACGGCATCACCCTTCGTGCTTTACTCTCTTTCCTCACCCAAACAATAGCAACAACAATATCCCGGCAAGGGAATCAACAACAAAAATAAACACATCCCGGCAAGAGAACCAACAGTAAGAAATAAATACGTCCCAGCAAGGGAATCAACTATAACCAAACCGGTACCAACATTTAACTTCACAAATGAAACCTCAACTGGAGCCCCAATGCTCAACAATAAACAAATACCACGAAGATAATCATAACTCTTGCCCAACACGGAGAATCAACAATTTAGGCATTTGTAGTACTTATTAAGAAACACAACAATTACAATTTAAGACTCACGAGCATGCTTGACAATGACGTATAGATACTTGTCACCACACATATACGTCGTACACTACACTAGCATATAGCAAATAAAGCACAATACTTATTCCCTCAAGCTAAGGGTAGGCCAAACACTTACCTCGAACTTTCACGGCCAACTCAAGCCTCAAACACCGCTTTTCCTTTAGAATTCGCCTCCAATTTACTTGTATCTAGCCCAAATTAATTTAACAACATCAATAAATGCAAAAGAATTCATACCCAATGCTTAATTATAGGTTTTCTATCATTTTTCCCAAAAAGTCAAAAATCGACCCCGGGCCCGCTTGGTCAAAACTCGAGGTTCGGACCAAAATCCGATCACACATTCATCCACGAGCCCGAATATGCAATTAGCTTCTGTCACGCCCCCCTTTTCCTCGTGGAAGCGGGTTCATGACATTTAGGAGGACAACTCGTTCCCTTTCGGGAATTGGGTTTGAATTGAAGAGTCGCTACCTAATGATTTGAGTGCATTAGGACTCTAAGAAGAATTTGATTTAGGAAACCAGAGATTGGGTAAGGACTTGAAATTATCCCGAGTGGAAGGTGTTAGGCACCCCTCAGGATCCACTAGTATGGTTCCCGGCCAGTCTATGGTTGTGACTTTAAGTGTAAATAACATGAAGGCGAGTAAGACTTCAAATAAGAAGGGATTTGCATATAAGGGTTACAAATAGATGAAATCAAAAGAAAACCAAAGAAAAGCTGAATTTTGAGAAAATAGTTGGAAATTTGAAAGTAAACAATGAGATAAACAAGTAAAGGAAAGGGGGTCCTAGGTTTATAAATAATATGGATCACCCCACACAACATCCGGTAATCACCTCTCAATGAGGGGCTACACGAGATGTTATCGCGTGGTCATCATATCCATATCTACCCTTTCTCCCCCCGTTAAGGTATTAAAACGCGGAATAGTCTCGTTTACTTATTGCATGCTATTACCCGGCCCAATCTTATCAGCCCCAGAGGTACTTGGGACTACTAATCCTAAAAGGGAGGAAAAGTTGGCTTATTTGTGGTTTCAAAGATAAAAAATGCTAGGACGACAACCAAAAACATGTATAACAAGTATGGGGAGGCACATAAACAAATAAGGCTCAAACAGACCTCCTTAAATCAAAGAAAACATATAGTTTAGCATGTCTTGCACGTACTGATTAAGGTCAGATTAAACTTAAAGGGTTGAGGCAGACTGATTTATTACATATTTCAGATAAGAAATCCGAATTAAGCCTGTCTGTTGATTGTAATTAACAAAAATCTGATTCAGTTTACAAGTTTACTTTATGGCTTGCCTAAGTGTTAGACGAAACCTATAGGCATGATATCTACTGGTCTAAAAAAAGAAGTATGCTGATTTTAGGAAAAGAAATTGTCAGTCAATCAGGAAAGGCTAGTTTTGGTAAAAGAGCATAAGTTCCGCAGACGTTAGGCATCATTGTTACTGATTTTAGACTTATAAGCAAGTGAAACGATTCAGGTTTGGTTGATAATTCCTAGGCATGCTTTCTAGGCGTTGTTGATTTTAAACGTTTTTACGGACGTAGTAAGAGTGCAGAAAACCCTATAGGCATGACATCTAAATGTTGTACTTCATTAAACCTATGAACACATTTACCTAGTGACAGATGTATATGCAAAATTCAGAATGGCCTATAGACATGTTTTCTAGATGCATAGGCAGGATTCAGGTTTCGAGTAATTACAGACATGGTAACATATGAAAGTGCAGAATTCTATAGACATGGCATCTACATGAAGGTGCAGAGGTTCTTATAACCATGATATCTATATGTGAATGTGCAGAACTCCTTATAGGCGTGGTATCTACGTATGAAAGTGCAGAACTCCTATAGGCATCATGTCTATATGAATGCAGAATCATGTAAACCTATAAACAGGATATATACAGATGAGAGTGCAGAAATATGTAAACATATAGGCAGGATATCTACCCTTTGCACACAGTTACCCCTCCCTCTTTTCACTAGCCATCCCCAATAGTTTATTACAAAGTTATTACAGCCCAGAATGAAATAAGAAAAATACATCAGAAATTGAAAAATCACAACCAAGGAGAGCCTGATTCAGACTTCCTGTCTGAAGCATGAAGTAAACCAACTCCAAAGATCAAGATCCAAAGCCTTCCTCTCATTTGGAGGTGTCAGAGTTCCCTAAGAGCCTCAAATGGACTCCGGGCAGTGCTCATACCCAAATGCATTGCAGGATTAAGTCATAGTGCAGTGTGGAAGGTCCAGCCCTCAAGTGTCCAAGTTCAAAGGGAACTCAAGGTCCCAAGGCAAGGCTCACAGGAGGGGGGCAGAACTTAGAAGCTAAGAGTGAGTGCAAGTGCAGATGGGGAATTATGAAAGGGGAAAGGAGAAGGAAATAACTTAAAACCAGTGCACATAGGGGTATAGGGGAGTGGGGAATTTGCAGGAAGAGCAGGCAAAGGGGCATACCCAGCAATAAGACTTACTGGCATGCCCTCCAGCCTACTTAGAGGTTAAGACCTCAAGGGTTCAAAACTCAGTTCATGGACAACAATTCTTGTTGCCATGCCCTAAGTCTCGACTTACAAACATATAAGGGTAATGGGATAGGGATCAAGTGTTCACAAAAAAAGGCAAACAGTAGCACATAGACATATTAAGTTAGATGCTAAACTTATAAAGTAGACGTGGATACAAAGACTTCAAGTAAATACATTGGGGTGATGCTGAAAATTAAGTTAGGACATACCAGTTTCAAAGGGACAAGTAAAGAAGAAAACAGTAGTCTTGTAAAAGCCAAAGTGCAGACAAGAAGTAGGAACACTCTAAGTATGAATTCAGAAGAGGT